GTTACCATTGTTTCGGTAAAGACTAAGAAGATGATTGTTATTCTGACCCTAGTAGTCATATCACATTAATATCGGATAAGACAAGGTATGTTACGTGGTTCAAAGAACCAAGTTCGATGTATCATCCGACTTAAGCCAGAAGATTGAGGTAAAAGATAATCGAAGCGATCAATAGAAGCGTCGCAATCACTGTTAAAGTAAGAAGCGTGTAGCTAAAAGTGCTACATGCTAGAATATGATTGTATCACATTAGAACATGAAGGAAGGTATCTTCCATTCTAAAATCTGACTCAAAAAGACCTGAGTCTAAGCGTTGCAACTTACGATGAGAGGTCATTAGAACATGGCCCATCGGGCTGTTACGATAATCAAAGTAAAGACATTATCTTAAGTTAAGTATGTTTAAGAAGAAGCAGGAGTCTCCAATAAGGACCGACTTTGTAAGTCGAAGGTTACGATTGAAATTCCAACATAGGATAAAGAGTTGGTGCAAGATTGCGCACCGCCAGCAGTGAAGGAGTCCTAGCGTTAGATACACTTTTAAAAGGACATAAGAGTTACAATTACCACCTATGATGGAAAGGAAACATAATGAGTCATTATACAAGCCCTGTTTTATTGATGATTCTAGGACATAATCATCCTATGGGGGAGATAATTGTAACACCCACAGATTCGGGCTAGTCAATTAGGATATAATAAGCATTAAAAATGATTTTTTTAATAGAAGATTATCTAGGACAAATAATCTTAACCAAACTAATAGTTAGGGTCAACAATTGTAACATATTTGACATAATAATGAAGAGTTATATGAATACTATGTGTTTCATGATTATTATAATATAATAAAGTAGGAAAATCTGACAAATCATCCGTAAATCATAAAAATAATTGTGCCAAAACATATATATATATATATATATATATATATATATATATATATATATATATATATATATATATATATATATACATATATATAGAAAGTATACGACTTTCCGATCCCAAAAATATAAATTTCGTAGAAATCCAACTCCGTATGAATTAGATATGATTTTTATAAGATATAAAAGTCAGCCACACATAATGAATGTATTACAAAAAAAGCTACGAAGAGAATGATTGACTTTTAGCTAAAGTCACCAAAGAGAAAATCATAGTACTCTTTAAAATAAGAATTTTGAGAAAAAAGAATGTCAAAAGCGGAGTTTGTACGAGAAAGTTATGATTTTAGCAAAATCATTTAATTTTATAAAAATATGGACGAAATATAAAGTCAAAATTAGCCAACAAAGTCTAAACGAAAGTTGTAGATATCATTGATAGCTAAGTGTGGATATAAAGAACGTCAAAAAATGGAGTTTGTATGAACGAGTTATAATTTATAATACTATATTTACGTATTAAAATAAAGTCTAAATCATATATATGTATACATATGTATATCATTAGAAATGTATTGACGATGCAGTCGTTATAAAACTAGTGTTGAGTATTTTCGATATTAGTTTAGTACAAATATCATCAAATCTATTTAAAATAGTATTATAAAGGGGTGTATAATCATTTAAATAATTATAAGGTCATTTAATTAACTATAGATGGTGGTTTTTTTAAAATTCAATTACTATAAATAAGAGGCTCTAGGCTCTCATATTTCTTGAACCACTCTCTTGATTCAAGAGTTTTTCTCTTCATATCACCCGAGCATTTCGGTCCCTCGTGATTCGACTTCTCTTTCTGTAGTTGAATCACTACAAGAATCTTTTCAAAAGATTCAGAGACGAAGTTCTTCCCGCACACAGCCCAGTTTCTCGCTAAACCACCTGTAAGTGAGTTATGTTTATCGTGCCTTAAGTAAGACTTATGTTTAAGTTCATTATCGTTATTATGAACCTATAAACAAGATTTTCCGGTGATTCAAATCTTTTATACTGATTGATCTTCTTACGTGAGAGGTGTCTAAGAATGGTCACGTTGGCTTGGTTGTCGGATTTCAGAAAAGCTATATGCCAAAATGGTCCTGCCTCCCAACTGTCCTGTATGGCTGATCCTTACTTGATATATATTGAAGTAGACTTTGAGTTAATGATGAATCTAGACTAATACTTAGTCTCAATAAATATTAGACTAAAACATAGAGATCATAATACTAGGTTACATCAAAGGAAAAGATAATTTTTAGAAGTGAAGCGTTGTCTAAATTTTGAATCATCAAGTAAGTGCATACTTACTTTCATCTTACACATAGATATGAAGTATTTTTTATTAATACATGCTATATGTGCTTATTATCTGTGTTCCTGATATTTATACTTGATGAAGGATTTATACACGTTTTACTTGATTTAAACTGTATATGTATTTTTATACCTATAAATATATTGGGTAAAGATGAGTAGATGAAAGATAATATGGATGAAAGATGATATGCATGATGAGTAGAGAAATATGATAAGAAGCCTTGACTTTAAAGTTGATCCAGTCATCTAGCAGAGTATAGATGACGCACAGACTATTCTAAACAGTCCAGCGGAACACTAGCAGACTCGCAACCTGTAGGTGTTTGTGAACTACGTATTCATCATATGTACTCTAAAAACTCTGACAACTATGGACTTAGTGCCTTACTAATGAACATTAGCAACTATGGACTGAGTGCCTTAAAAAAAAGTATTGGCAGTTGTGCCTAGTAAATAACATCGGTAACTATGGACTTAGTTCCTTTTGGATAAACCCTAGCAACGATGGACTTCATGCATATTCCTTAGTACAATCCTTAGGAATAAATAAATGAAGAATAGATGATTCTTAGGGTAGATCCTTAAGAATAAAGAAGATAACGGGGATGGGAAATTGGGTCAATTGTTTGATGATAATAATTATATTATTGTGGGTTGAAAACCCTATGTACTCACTAGGTTTCCCAACCTGACCCACTCATTTTATTGTACACAGGTAGCAATACGAAAGATACGTTCTGGTGAGAGATTCATGGAGTTTTAAGGCATTAGTTTAGTTACTATAAGTCTTGTAATATTTCATTATGCTTATGTTTATGTATTGACGATGACATCCCAAATGCTTTAATATAAATAAAATACATTTTCTTCGGAAATGCTTTGATAATAGCATTATCATGTTTTTGGGAACAAATCCGCAATATTATTCTTCAAAAGGATACTTTGATTTTTTAAATAAGCATAAACAAATCAGTCTTTTCTGGCCATGAAAATGGGGATGTCACTGAAAACCATCAAAGTTTCTCATATTCACAAAAGTAAAATAGGGAATGTATGTTCTCTTGATGTGAGTTAGAGATTGATTAAGAACACGATTGAATCAATGAAAGTTGTAAATGGACACGAGATCTAAATAAGATATGTTTGCTTCAATTAAGTTTGAAGAGTATAAGAGTATTTTCGAGTACAAAGGCAAAAGACGCTTAGTTCGATCGTTACTTTACTCTATGTATTACCCTATTTATAGGGTACAACAGACTCACAAAAAAAATCAAGGAATAGACATTAAGTGTCGAAACTAAAGTTTCCTTGTAAATAGATAAAGTATCAAAACCGAACTATTTTTGACACTTACAAACTCTAACTACTTTCGACTCCTCACTATATATGTTTGACTCAACACTCTCCCTTTAGTGAGAGAAGTCAAAAATTAAGAAATCAACTTCGTAGTCTACAAAATTTCCCTTCGAATCTACCTATACTATAGATTTTTTTTTTGAATCTCAGCTTTGTCTTCACTGTCATTCTTCTTGCAATTGTTGATTTGAATCAGGAGATTAGTATAGTGAGAGTTTGTGTACCTCTCAATATCACAAACTTGAAACAAAAACTTTGTCATTTTCCCTATCTTGTTCTTTCCAAGAAACACAACACCAAGAGGTTGATGAATAATTTCACCATCTTCAAAATCATCAATATTTAGCTTTACCTTCAATAAACATTGAAGGACTTTCGATGTCTTGTTAATAGCTAAGGCAAGATCAATATTTGTAATAGCCAAGTAGTCATAGTACCTGTTAAGAAAGGCTTTGACATTAGCAAACCTAATAACGAAATCATCCTTATTGGTCTCTGCTATCTTCGAAACATCAATAATGGTCAAAATCTTCATGACCATGATCAAATCATTCAAATTCATCAAAGGAAAATCTGTTATTATGAACTCAAAAGCAACGTTATTTTACCTTACAACAATATAAAGAAAGTTTTGTAGCAGACCTTCGAACAAGTTGTCGCGAGTAATAGTCATCACCTTAACAATCTTCACCGAAGACCACACCTCATCTTCATACTTCCCCAAGATTGCATTAAAGCGAATTTTCAACTTTTTAAATTCTTCCTTATCATTAAATTTATCTCTAATCTTAAATTGTGAAGAAGTAAACAACATATTATTGATAGGAAAGTAGAGCCGATTAAAATCGGAATTTTCCAGTGTCGTAGCTCTTCTTTGGCTCTTTTTGAAACTCATCATTCAATCCAATAGTAACAATTTATTCTATTGTTTCATAACTCGACTGCATGTTGGGATCACCCTTCTTCAAGCCAGGTGGTTCATTTTCTCATTGCCTTAGAATGCTATTTATCTGTCTTTTTTTTTTTAATTTTGATGGCTTGTTGCTTTTTCTTCTCTTCATCGGATAGAACAACTGAGATGGATTTCCATTTATCTTTTGGATCAACATTCGAAGTTGATTTGATAGGAATTGAACTCGAACCTCCTGATACTTCATTCATCGAGATTCCTTTTGTCAAATTTCTCATTGTTTTTTTTTGTTTTTGTTGTTTTGTTGTTGTTGAAGTTGAAACTGAACTTATGGGCTTTGTCGAAATAGTTTTCAGGATTTGAGTACTCATCACCTTTCCCACAACCACCCCAGAACTTTCACCTGTAGCTTTTGACGAACTAACACCCCCTTAACCTTTTTCTCCCCCTTGAGACACTTGCACAACACGAGGAGCATTGGTTATAAGTCAAAGAACTAAGCACCTGATAGGAGCTAGTTCAGCCTTAATTTTTGTCTCGATATTAGAAACCATTTGAGAAATGGATTTTGGAAAAATTGTCGATTGTTTCAAAACCATAGTTTTGATTTCGGTTAAGAACTCTTCAAATTTAGCAAAAACTTGAGCATCCCCCTTCGTCTTGTCTTCAAGAACAAATGTGTAATCTTTGTTGAAAGAAGTTATGTCTTCAATCAATTGGGTAGTTGCTTCAGCTACCAACTTCTTATGTAGAGTTGTAGAACTCTCAGCAAACTTGTTAACTTCTAATTCCAATAGCGTTCTGATATCTATTATCTGAGTTTGTAAGAACGCTTTTGTTTTGTCAAACTGTTTTGTAAGAAGCTCATGATGTTCTTTCGAAACATCGCGAAGCATAGAAATTTCACTATTAAGTCTTCGAGAATGATTGAGAACCCGTTCATCATTCTAATTATCAACATCATCTATTAGAGTCCGCAGTCAAGACACTTGAGTTTTGAGAAGATAGTCTACTTCGATGCCACTCACAGAATGCTTTCTTCCTGCATCAGCCAAGAATTATAAAATCAAATTCATCTTCGAATTCAATATTTTGAATTGTTTTTGTGACATGATCATTTCATCAGGAATATTTTCTTCCTTTGGATCATAATGAAGATCAACAAATGAAACCATGACATCGTCATCGTTAGCTTCCTTGTTTTGAATCAATTTCTTATCCTCAGTGGATTGAGATGAGAAATGTGCTGTCAAAGGTCATTGATTACACCATCATATGTAGGGGAAATTGTTGAAATAGGAATTGATGAAACAAGTGGTGATGATAGTGGTGGTGGAAGAACTATAGATGTTGAAATGATGGATGTTGTTGATGTTTCAATTTTTGATATCCCTTCGTACATGTTGACATTTGTGTCCTTATTAGAATAGTTCACACTGATGTTCTAAATTTTAACCTCCTCCGTAATGGACTCAATACATGAAACCCCAGATGGTATGACCAAAGTCCTCTCAGGGATGTTGAATTGATCTTTATATCCGTATCAGATACGTTTATAGTGACATCAGGAATCCTTCTCTTCTCGAGATTCGACTCGACATGGGTATCCCTTCGTGTTGAACCAATATAAGAATCTTCAATTTGAATGTCTAACATGTCGATATCACTATCATTCTCTATCTCAACAGTTACATTCTCTAGTGGAACTCCAACTTCATGTTTTCTATTCTTTAACTTTTGAGCCATATCTATAGCTCAACACTCTTTGAGGCTGGAGATCCAGGAACCGAAACTTCATGAAATAGAACACCCTTCCTGGTAAATTTTGCCTTTCTAACCTTATTTTAACCACCCTTAATAGAAATAAGGTTTGATGGTTCGACAACAGTAGTGTAACAACATAAAATTTCAAACCAATTTTTTTCAATTTAAAAACACATTTGTCTCAATAAATAAAACACAAAATGTCACAATTTAAAATCATCAAACCTCATATCAAAAAATTTGCATATCTCAAAACTCCAAGATCCTCTAAATCATAACCCAATCGATGATGTGTGTACAATCAGACCAGCGCCTTCCCGTGATCCTTTGAAGTACCTGAAACACATAACACGATAAGCACAAAGCTTAGTGAGTTCCCCAAAATACCACACTTATCACATTAGCCACTCAAGGCTAACTCAATGCGAACCTCTGGTCAATGTTTTCCAGTGGAGACCCTCCGGTCCCACCACTCGGGAGGACCCTCCGGCCCTAACTCAATAAGTTCATAAAAATAAGCATAAACCACAAGGATAAAATGAAAAGTAGCACAATACACAAATAAACACATAAGACATCTTAGTCACACAAAGATACCACTCACGGTAGGTATAGTGAGAAGACTCACCTCGTAAGCTAGCAAGCAAAGTATCGTACTCGGAAATTTTGAACTAGCCTCCGCCTAATACATAGGATAATCATCTCTAAATAATAATCTATCCATACTAAAATACACTAAAGGTAGCTCTCTCTTTCTCTCAAATTCTTGGGATGGGTAAAAGACCATTTTACCCCTCCATGGTCCCCATTACTCATGTTGACCAAACCCTAAAGTTAACAAAAGTCAAACTCGAGTCAACAATCCAAGTTTGACCTGACTCGCCGAGTGTACTCATGTGACTCGTCGAGTCCACTCATCCCTCAAAAATCTTCGTGAAAGTCCAGCTCGTCGAGTTAACCCCTAACTCACTGAGTTATAGCATGGCCAACTTATCGGGCAAACCCTAACTGACTCGTCGAGTCAGCTCATCGACTTGGTGAGTCTATTCAGACTCTTTTCTCATTCAGACGGTTTCAAGGAAGAAAATGTTCCCAAACTCAAGATCTAAACTCTTAAGGTTCGTTTCTCATGTAATGCCACAAGCTTTACGTCCATGCATGGCACTTAGGGCTTGAAATGCCAAAAGCATACTCTATTAAGGGTTTTTTCACTCAAGAGCCTTATTATGGCTGAATAAAGTAGGGAATTTTGGACTCTAGAGACCTCATATGGTCTAGATCTGAATTCCAAACCTCTATATGAACTCAAAACACTCCAAGTCCTCATATTAGACGGAAAAAGCCCTAAACTCCCAAAATCATGAGATCTACTCAAAAAATGAGAAATAAGTGAGCTTTATACCATTCCCAGAAGCTCTAAGGTAAAATAACCACGAATCTAACTGCCCCTTCTCATCCGTTGGCTTGGAATCCTTCCCTTCTCTTAAAAAGATGCACCAAATGCTCAAAGTTAGCTCAAATACTCTCTCTTAGCTCAATGGCCGATTAGGTTTTTCTCTCAGTGAAGGTAAACAACAGATGAGCCACAAATAAGGATATAGATAGGCCCAAAACCAGTGGATTTAGGGTTTCTTTTCACAACGTCTACTCGGCGAGTCGGCTCTCGGACTCGTCGAGTAGATCATTAATCTACGTGACACATCTTGACCCTACTCGACGAGTTATAGCACCAACTCGTCGAGTAACTCAATAGTCCTCAAAACATAAATAAACATAATACCTAGAAGCACAGGTGTTACAAGTAGGCTCAACACTTTCGAACACTAGCTCATGAGTAGAAGCCTTGATTGGAGAATGAAAAGGTTTCTTAGTTTATTTAAGAACCCCATATTTATTTGGGATGGTTTCTTTAAGAATATCCTCCTCTACGACTTGTGGTTGTTTCTCAACTAGTTTCTTCTTCTTCTTCTGAGCTTTGGACTCTTTTTGAGAAACAGGTGGTGGTAACACAACTGTTGTAGTAGTGGAATCAATAGAAAGTAAATAATTGACAAATATAGGATATGTTGGGTCAACCAACTTAAGCATTTGGAATCCGAGCAACGCTGGGAAAAATATTAGCGTCATCCACAAAAACTCTTGGAGCTAACGACATTGGAAAATCAACAAATTCAATACCAACAGGGATGATAATATTCTCCTGACTGCAAATCTCTCTCGGGATGAGTCCCCAAAATCTAGCACTCGACACTCCTCTTGCCAGTTTCGTATAAGAGATTGAGATTCCAAATTCTTCCCATAGAAGTGATGCATAGTCAACACTAAGACCATATTATAATCCCGCCATAATAGACTATACTTCAAGATTGGCCTTGTTAAGCCCATAACTTCTTCCTGTCAAACACCTTAAAATAATCCCAAACAAGAAACTCCAAACACAAGGAATACTAGACATCTTAAAGTGGCTAATTGCAGTGAGAGTAGTTTGATGTCCCATTTCATTAAACATATGAATCACTTGGTCATTCGTTACTTCATAGAAAGTACCTGAAATTGGTAGTCTCAGAATTTGGAAAAACAGTTTCTGAGTAAGCTTCTTCGTTTTTGAGTTTGTAATTTGGAACGTGACCACCTTGGTTGTTTTGTTGTATACTTCAATTCAAGCAGCAAGAGACAACCATTCCACAGGGATTTCAAACATTGCAGAAAGAGTGTATGATAGAACATATTTATTCAGAGTTTGGTTAAGAGATAGAACTAGAAGAAGGTTGGTGAGTTGAATCTTGATCATATATTTCGAGATTTCTTCGCCATTGGTTGTTGTTGGATCAACATTGCAAGGAGTAACAGTCATTGAAGGGAATTTGAGAGAATTTTAGAAGTGATGAATAGTTAAGGTTCTTGAGGTTTAATCAGAGAGCAAAAAGTTGAATAGGAAATCATCATTTTCCTTTTATAACTTGTGTTATTTTTGAATTTGAACCAGTACCCAATAAGAAAATGCCACTTGGTGTGTTGGTTACATAATCGGCATCGTAAAAATCGCCACATCATAAAAGTGATCATCAAGTTGCTCCTTGATTCCCGTAAAAATTCTAAACCGTCACATCTATTGGATCTTTCACTGTTCCCAATTGGATAGGAACCGTAACAAGTTTCATTCCCCAAATGAGTACGCCATGTGTTGTGTCACCAAGCAAAGACAATTTTATTGGCATGGAGGTTGGGCTCATTCGCTTATGGGATTTGGAAGCGAAATCATATGCCAGACTTTGGAAAATCTAATTTTTGAGTTGGTAATACCCAAAACCTCAAGGATTTCAGTGCTTTCGTGTGCCAAATAATGAGATAAAAGAAAGTCAAACAAATTGTGGATATTGTGATATCGAAAATCATTTTGATATAAAAATAGTTCGATCTTGGGCAAAGATCTCTTTAGTTGACATCAAGAGCGATGAAGAATTGCTTTTGTTGTCACCCATGAACTAAAATCGAATACTCATTGATGAGTATCGAAGGGCTTCTTTTTCTTTTGATTTCAAAGGCGGATTTTATTTTACACAAGACCACAACTTAACATAAGTTAGATGCGGTTGTGCAAAATTACTTGGATGACTAGTGTAGTCAAGAACGAGTATGGTTGGTGATGATTATAACTGACAAAAGTTTAGAGAAGATATTCAAATGGAAATCTCATTCCAAAAAAATGAAATATTGGATATTTTTGGGCAAAAGCGTCTTGGTATTAAAACATTTTACCAAGATCATGCAATACGAATGGAAATGAGATTTTGAATATCGAATTGGTACAAAGAAACAAATGTTTTGTGAAAATCTTAAACAAAGCTTTTCACCATCAATTCTTTGATGTTTAGGTTTGTTGGGTTTCACCATCATCACAAAAAAATGACTTAGTATCATAAACACAAATGTGTGACATATCTACATTCTTGTAGGTTTCGACCAAAGATGTCAATGATATGCAGTGTAGTGTGTGATCGTGAAATAAATTTTTGGTGAAAAAGATAGTGATAGAACCCATTGTAGCTCTGCTAAAAAAATTTGGACCAAGCTGAAAACTCTTGACTCATCATGAGAAGAGTAAGGTAGCTCGCCAACTAATGTGAATACA